TCTGTAGGCAGATAGTTCCATGATCGTATCATATTCCCCTTTGTGGAACACTTTAAGCTAATTATTTTACATTATGATATTAAAATCAAAGCCTTTTTAAAGGATAAATTTTAAAAGAAGATGTAATCATGACCTTCACCTAGATATAACTGAACATATGTCAAAGATTATATTTTTAACTCATTGATTAATGATGGAAACCAATAAGATAGTACAACCAGTTTAATGGAGAACTCAAAGTAGCACACGTTTGTAGTCTGACCAAGGAATGTTGACGTAAACTTTGAGGGATTCAAAACAGATCAATATCCAAAGTGATACCTGATTGCATTCCACGGGACACACTTGGTCTTCTGTGGATAGGAATCACTTGCATCGCCATTAGTTTCTGCTTAGGGACCGCCATTAAGCCTCAGTTTTGTACAGTCTTTCTCTGTGTTTATAACAAATATCAGTTATATCCCCCCCAACTTTTTTTTTTTTTTGAGCTTTCCCTTGTATCTTGTTAAATTTAACCAAGTCCTACAGTGAAGTCAGGAGGTGAAGGATGTGTTTCTTTCTTCCACTTCTCTTACTTTCTCCTCTCTCCAGGGGTTCCTTTTAGACCAGGGTTGTTTCCCTCTTGTTACTACTTTGGGATCTGCCATCACTGTGCAGTAAGACAGGTTCTGCCCGTCCCCAGGGTACTCAGAGTTGAATAGTTACGTTTTTTTGTGTGTGCTTTGTTAGATCCCCAGATTTTTTGAGCTCTGCTTAGATAACATGGTGGGGCCCACGGCAAGCCTGCACTTCCTATGACCCCACCCATCCCGCCCTGGGTCCGCAGAGCTCTGCTCTCCCCTCTTCATCAGGCTTGGCAGTGACCCCTGTGGATGGTGAGTGCTGACAGTGCTGTGTCTGCCTGTCTCACTGTGTCCAGCCTCAGGACTTGTGCCTATGTATTGTGTCCTTGTAGTCCCTGGTTGGTGGCATAATCAGATTTAGACCCATCTGAAGTCAAAATTAGGGCACCTGAAGTATCAAAAGTTTGGGGGTGAATATTAAGAAAGTGGTGCACACCTTATTATCTGCAATGAGCTCACTGTTGTCGAAGTCAGAATCGAGAAGGAAATACTAACCGAGTTGTTCCCTTTTCTGTTACTGTTGTAAGTACACCATGGTTAATGCATTCTGCTTAAATACTTTATATGATCTGTCACTATTTGTTGTATAATTAATATTTTAGAAAAAATAAAAACTATATAGGGCTAAATATTTGCTTATTTTCTGTTAAAAATTAGTTTATTGGGGATTTGTCTAATGCTCTGGATAGCGCTGAGTCCGGCAGACACAGTGGAGCAGATGTCTGGCGGTCAGCTGTCAGCAAGCCTGGCCTCCACCACAGGCTGAGCCTGTTCACTGTACTGCACTCTGGCTTCAGGTGTGGCAGGCTGCCTTCCAGTGCCTGTGCCCCTTCATTTCCATCTTTGCAAACCCCTCCAGGGCTGGCCTGCATGTTCCAGAGAATGGCACACTGAGCCCCCCTCCACTAAGGCAGGACTGCTCTTGCCTCTGGCTGGCCCAGTCCCTTCAGGTAGCGCCTCCTGGCCAGGGTCAACACCAGGATCCAGTCGCACCTCAAGCACTCCCCTAAAATCCCTGCAGTTACCGTCTTGTCTTGAGTTTAGTGACAGTGACCTTCTGGGCAGGAAGGAATATTAGAGCTTTAATTATGTAAAGAAGCAAAAAGTAATTGCAATAATGATTTTGAAACATGACTACTAGGTTATAAATAATGAAGCTACCATGTCTCCTAAATTTAGATAAAATATTCATTGAGAGTAGTGATTAAATAACCTATAAAGAAAAATTTCTCTTACTTTTTGATTAATGAAGTTCTTTGGATAGTTTACACAGGAAAAATGCAAAGTCTTCCAAGTATGCTTTGGTGATGTAGGTGTTCTGTGCAAATAAGGGTGGGATTCTTGCCCACCTCTGAGGCCTGCAATGCTGTCTCTGGGAGTGTCCATCTTTTCTGTGGTGTAAGGGTGCCTACCAACCCAACGCCTTGAGGTAATCCAGTATCTGTCCACTGTTAGCGTCCTGCAGGCATGCGCTAGTGGGCACGCTACACCTCAGCTGACACAGGTCATCTGAAGATGGGGCCATCCTCCCCACCAGCCTGCTCCATCAGAATTCATGAAACACTTGCTGAATGTGAGGCCCAGGTGCCGCATCTTCCTCATCAAGATTTTCAGTGGCCAACAAATAGCCAGCTCTTGCCAGCTTCCACATGCTTTCTTTCCCAGTGCCTGCCCCCTAGTGGAAGTACTCATGAGCAGTAAGTGGGTACAACTTGCCCCTGAGGTGCTTCTGCAGTGTCAGGCACACTCTGCACTGGAATGCAGAGGAAGGCTCAGCCTGGCTGTCACATGATGTTCTTCATGTCTGCCACACTCCCAGTGGTTCAGAGGGAGTGAATTGGGCCTCTTACCTACTCATTACATTTTAATCTGACACTGGGAGGCACCCGAATGGTGGATGACCAGTTAGAGGAAGAGGAGAATGACTGGACTTGTGAGGAGGTAGGTCTCAGGTTTTTCCACGTCCCTTCCAGTCTGTCACATGACACTACAAGTTTGCTTCCTTCAGTTTAACCTACTGATTCAACAAGGCCTATGCAGATAGTGCCAGATCCACTCATGGAAGGGACATCAGTGGAAACTAGTGTCTCCTGCCTATCAGTAGCCCCTCTACCAGCCCCACAGAAAACCTGGGGGAAGGCCCTGCTGTGACTAGGCGCCGCATTGCCCAAACCCTGCTCTGGGCCAGTGCCTTCCCAAAGCTCTCTGATATTAATGACCTCCCATCAGCAGCCAGCCTGCCCAAGGAATTCAAAGGATGTGTTCTCTAGTGTTCTTTATTGGCAAACTCCTGTCCCTGATATAAGCCAGGATGTAAAGCAACTTCTGAGCGGGGCTTGGCCGCAGGAAGGGGGCTGTAGCAGAGTCAGGAAGTCCTCCCTGGTTTGCAGGAGCATAAGACGAATGGTCCAGATGTTCAACGTAAAAGTGGTCTGTTGTCATTAAAGAGAACACGAGATGTTTCTGTGTTGTGCATTGCATGTGGCCACTTCCTTCCCCCTCAGGCCTGCATATTGATGCATGTGTGTGCCTGAGTTTATATACACTATGCACATGTGGAGAAAACCGATCGGCTCAGTCTCTTCCTGGCCAGGACAGTTGGAGGTGTCTCCACGTGGGACTCTTGCAAGGACTGAGCCTCCTTGTTCTGCAGACAGACATATGCATCATTTGAGGCAGTTTTAGAAGAAAAGGACAGTGCATGGACACTGATGTCTTTCCCCTGTTTGATGCCCTTTCTCGTTACAGGCAGCTAAGGGTGATGCTTCTTTTGGAGCTTGTTAACTCAGCCCTTGGCTGCACTCTGAGGTGTCTGTCTCTGTGTGGCTAGGAAGACTACAGCTTCATCTTGGGGTATTTTTATTTTCTGACTAGAGCTCCTTTTGGCATCTGATCTGAGAGTCAGACCCTGCCGTCTATATCCATTATCATGACTCTGCTTTCTCTATGGTGCTGCTATATTTACACTCTTCCTTGAGTTGGAGAATTGGAAAAAAACACCACTTACTGCTGTTTCTGGGTGAAGATTGGTGAAGCTTTCAGGAAGGGAAATGTGAAGGTCCAGTTAGCCCTGTGATTAGTCTTTGTCCTTAAGTTTATGGAGAGTATTAAATCAAGTTTTCTAAAGGAAAGAGCACATGTAACACGTCACTTCTAACAGGTGCAGGCAGAGGTCTGTTTGGAAAACACATCATGGGACTCACCCTGATCCCCAGCACTGGAACCTGAGCTGGAGGCTGGGCACCTATGATGGGCACCTGAAGCTCTTGGAATCTGCTGAGGGGCTTATGCAGGCAGCCCCATGTGGAACATGGCGAGGACTGGCTGAGGAGGAGACTTAGCCAGCTTAAAGCGTGTAGTTCCTGGGGACAGAGGAAATGTCTGCGAGAGTTGCTTACAGAGTACATCAGTACTTTGACCTGAGCTCTGAGGGATAGCTGGGAATCCACCAGCCAGGGAGGTCAAGGAGTGAGTTCCAGAGGGTTCTTTCAGTTCTCTGAAACCATTGTTTGTGGCATCTTGTGTGCACGGCATGTGTAACTTCTTTGTAAGAAAGGACTTATAGCTTTCCTTGGTTCTCCAAGGCATCTGTAACCCCAAAGATACAGGAATAAATGACATGTTTTATTTGTAAACTGACCATAACAGGAATGTCCCTTAGGCCATTGGGAAGGGCCTGGTGTGCTGCACTAAGAAGAGGGGACTTGCCCTGGGCACAGAGGAGAGCCAGCTGCAAGCTCTAAGTATTTTAATGAATCTTGGGGTCCATCAAATTTAACTCATAGAAAACAGGATGCAGGAAGTTGTGTGTGTGTGTGTGTGTGTGTGTGTGTTGGCAGGCTGGACACTGGAAGCATGCAGTTTTATTTTTATAGAAAAATATGTCAAATATATCATCTTTACTGTTAGGAGGTCTCTCCTAGTCATGCTATGGACAACGGGGGAAGCCCGGGCTTGGTGAGCAGGTTGTAACTCATCTGCTCACACACCAACTCACTGAGTGCGGGTGTGCAGGGCGTGCCAGGGGCAGGTCTCACAGAGGATGGGAGCATACCCTGCGTGGCATAGGCCTCCCAGGCTTGCTGCGCAGTAGCATTGGGTTCTTTCTGTGATAGCTGATGGAGTCCAACTCTGGTTTTGCCTGGCCGAGGCTTTTGAGTTCAAATTGGACACTGTGTGTGGGGCTGGCCCTTAGTTGAAGAGGTTACTGTAAGTGGCCCATTACATCTTACTGAGAACTCACTTTGAGACTCCAGAACCTGGTCACTCTGATGTGTTCAGCTTGGGAACGGTGTGTATGTGCGGTGCCCACTTCTCTGGAGTGAGCCCCACAGGTCACATAAGCTATTCGGCTTCTTGACACTTCTCTTCTTGCAGCTCGAGTTCAGGTGTCGTCAGCTGCACTGAGAGCCACGCAGTATGACTCTGCAGATGACCCCAGCATAGGCCAACAGAAGGTCGAAGAGAAGGTCCACTGCAGATCCCAGCTCTGCCTCTGACAGTCACATCCCCCTGCCAGCTTCATCATCTCGGAATGAGCTCTCTGTGGCCAGGATATTACAAAGCACAGTAAGTATTTGCCCTATTCCTCAGCCACTGAGGATGTGACAGAAATCACAAAGTTGCGTTTTCTTTTATTAATATATCCCTGCAGAGAAGATAAATGGCAAGTTTCATTTCATTCTTAAGGTCATGTTTGGGATAACTAGACATCCAATCAATCAGGTGATTGATAACACTGATTCTCTTCCACAGAAACAGGGCGGGGACCAGAAAGTACCTTCCCCCTCTCCTCCAAAGATGACAAGAACTGATTCTTGGGAGAAGGGGGCATTAATGATATAAATGTCTGTGTCACTGCTGACAGTCATTTACATCTTTTAATAATAGTGGAGGGTGGACTCATGGAATTCCTAGAATTTAAAGTTGATGGAGGCTTTAGGGAAAGATCATCTCACCCAGCCCCTCACTGCACAGGGCTCCTTAGTCCAGGGTGTCCTGGCAGTGGTGCTGGCATCCTGCTGCTTGGAACATAGAGCTTGAGTCCTCCTGGAGTCCAGGGCCTGAAGCCAGGTCAGAGGGCCTGGGATGTCTTTTTTCCTGAGTCTCTAGAAGCTTTCTAACCCTCTTCCACTGGGGTTCCTGAGCCGCCCTAATTCCTTCTAAACTTCACTGCGACCACTTTAAAATATGCTCTCCCGTGCCTGGGGGTTGGAGTGGAGCCTGAAAACCAGGGAGGGGTCTGTGATCAGGGAAGGAGCAGGGATGTTAGCCTTCTCTTCACCGTGGGCCGTGGTGGGCAGGCTCTTCAGACGTATGGTTTTCAGCGCCTGAGTGCAAATTGTTTCTCTGTTCACACAGTTTTTAATTTTGGCTTAGTGATTAAACTGACTTACCACCTCTCATACTCCATAGACCTGCTCCAGTAAAGCAAAGCAAAACAAAATTCATAAAACCTGATTATAAAATGTTTAAGAGTTGGTCATAGTTATCTTTAGTAAGAAATGAGATGGTATACTGGGTTGCTGTTTTTTCTTAAAAAATGGGCCAGAAAACTCATGCTGTTACCTTGTGACCTGACTGTAGTGATCATGGAGATAAAGTAGAAAGGTTTGACCATGCTGACCTTGATGTGACAGTATTTGGGCTTCTCCATTAGAGACAGACATGGAAAGGGAAAGAAGCAATTGCTTCAGGTTGGCTCTTGGGTGGATGGAAAAGCCCCTGTGCTCCTGTGCCTTCATTTTGTAGTGAGGAGCCCGAGCTGTGGACTTCAGCTCAACTTCAAGGTTCTTCTGGGCCCAGCCAGAGCTGCCAGTTGCAAAAGAAGGAAGAGGAAACAGACTCTTGAGAGGCTTGGACAGTGAGGAGAGAGCTCCCTCACGCCAGATGCTGAGACACAGCAGTGCCGTGGACAGGAAGCTCCAGGGCTGGCCACTCGGTATCTTTGTCCACTCTGCCAGGTGCTCGTGACAGTTCTGCCTGTCTCCCATTTGTCTCTTCAGAAGAGCAAGGTATCCTATGCCAGAAACCCACCTCACTGCCCTCTCCCCAAGGGCCCCTCTCTGGCCACAGCTGCACCATATATTTGTGGGTACAGCATGGGGGAGGGTGTAGAAGATGCCCATCTCCCCAAGCATCAGGATTCTGCAAGGAAGGGGGTGCTCAGGAGCCATTAGCCTGTTGCTGCGCTGGTGCAGGGCACTGAACTCAGGCACTGTTAGGGGCTGGCCTTGGTGGTTGGCTTGCACCCAACTTGGCTCCTGGTAACTGCTACACTCAACAGGACCCCGAGGACTTTGGATAATAATAATTCCAGCCACACACATTGTGAGTATATGTGAATTTATTAACTTAGAGGAAAAAGCCTTAGGTTGTCATACCAGATGACCTGTTTTTATCTCGTATTCTGTTAAAATAAACAGTGTACTTCAGTGAAAACCTTGGCATTGAAGGTTCTGGTGGCATGCCTCAGAATGAACGAAGCATCTATCCCTGTATTAATCGACTTTCCTGGATCATATGTTGAGCTGATTTGTCAGAATCCATTAAGCTGGTAGACAGTATGACATTTCAAGTGCAAGCTAGAAATCCACGTCATGGTTGAAGGAGAAGGTCAGATCCATCTCAGTTAATGTTAATCAATGATCAGAGACCAATATGTCACTGGTGAATGTTCTTGCTCATTTTAATTGTTAACCTAATGTAAAGGTTCATTAGCAAACACGCACAGTGTTTGTCCACGTGGAAACTAAAAGCAGTTTACGGGGCGCATTCTCTGTCATCGCCACACCTCTTCACTCAGTTCACTGCCCCCTGCCCTCTGAGAGGTCCACTGGTGCTGCAGTATCTATTCCCCAGAAAACTGAGGTGCTTGCCACTCTGTGGCTTGCAAACCTCATCCTTCCTCTGGGGCAGTCTACCCTTAACATGTGAATGTTATTGGAGGGTGCTGGAAGCCACACGGGGGAGGTTTTCAGGGCTCAGAGACTAGTACAAGCAGGCTCACATGGTTGGCACTCACCAACTTTAACAGTAGCTTTTGTTTTGTGTAAGGACCACAAGCAGTCTTGGAATTAAAATATGTGCAATCAGTTTTCTCTAGCTCTTAAAATGACTGGCCTGTACGACATGATATCTAACTGTACAAAAGCAGTTTGTAAGCTCTGGAGAGACATCATTGACTTCAGAGAATGTTCTTGGCTTAGGTTGGCTTCTTTCATTTCTTTGAAGGGGAAGTGGTCTGGTGCAAATTGATAAATACTCCCAAACAACTCTGTAGGATCTTGGCAACCCCAGAAATGGAACCAGTGACCCTTTGGAGACTGAGCAGAGGCATGAACCCATCCCCTTGAGGAGAACAAATCTAAATTATAGGCTTGTTCCTAAAAAAAAAAAAGAAAGAAAGAAAAGAAAAAGAAAGAACGAGCAACTCAAAACTTTATTTTCTGAAAGTTAAGTTTAAGAACAGACATTGAAACCAAATAATTTTCTTCTGTCAATATTAAGTATGTATCTTGGTTCATAACCTGTGTTGCTAACATTTTCTCTCTAACTTAAAAAGAGAAATTTTAAAGTAGTGTTTAAAATATTCTGAACAATCTATAATATTATTTTAATAAAGTTAATGTAAGAAATATTTTGACATCTTACTATTTGGTATCTGTTTAATACAAATATTTTTTTTTTTTTTTTTTTGGTCAAAAGTCGACAGCTTCCTTGGTTGAACTATGTGTGTTCAGTTTCTCTCTCTCATGGATTAGCTTCTGGTGCCAAATAAGTTCTCACACGTGTTCTAGATTATGGTGGAGCTTTGCCCTCACAGCAATGAATGTATGCAGGGGGCATCTTAGGGGCACCACCCATCTGTTGGAAGACAGTAATGACCTAGGTGTTGGTCGTGGGCCCTCGATTGCTGGGTGATTGTGGGAGAGAGTAGACAGCCCCCAACCTCAAGGTGGTTAACCATGCCAAGCAGACAGCTACCTAGACTGTTCTTTGTGATTCCAGATAAGTTGTGGGCACCACTTGAACTTCCTCCAAAGCCAAACCCATTCCCTGGAGAAAACAGGGCGCTACCCCAAAGCCCTTTGACTTTGGGAAGGCCTCTTGTTCCTCCCCAAATTTCTGCTTTGTTGTTTTCACCTTTAAATTCCAAATTGCTTGTTTTCCTTAGTTTGCTGTTCCCTTTGACCCTCTTTCCTAAAGTGTAATGTTTTCCTTTTTTCTCTCATTTCCCAGGCTATAATCCCTCAGCTTCTGCTAAATCAGTTTGTGTCGATGACTGACCAAGTGCAGGCCCAGACGTAGCCAAACACTGTGCAGACAGCTTCCCAGGGGTGGCAGTGACCTGGGTAGGCAGAATTGGCACTGCCTGAAGGACACGTACAAAACACTGTCTTCATGCAGGTAAAGGAAGCCTTTTCAGAGGCAGGTGCAGAAAGAGGAGGGTTATTTAATTAGGAAGCAAAGGGAAACTGCGGCCAGGCTCGCTGACCTGGATTTCCTATGGATGCCAATCGGCGTGTTTACTGGTCTCTGATGAAATAGAGCTTTAAGTGGCTGACACCTGGCAGCATTCATTTTGCTCCAGAAATGCCATGTAAGATGTTGGGAACATTAAATTACATTTGCTTGTTGTGATCTGTGTGTCTGCTCTGTACCCCTAGTGGAAGGTCCACCAGAATCTTGCCTTCTCCGTTCATGAGCTGGCTGTGATTCTTGGGGATCAGTTGATGGCAGCTGACCTGGTACCTGTCTTCAGTGGATTTTAAAGGATCTTGTGCACAGGAGTTCTTAAGCATCTTTATGATTTTCTAAAGGCAGGAAGGAGGGTTAAAAACAAGCACCCTCTCTCCAGTCAGTCGTGTTAAGCCCTGGATATGTCTGGAATCAGTGAAAGACAAAAAGAAAAAAATTCACAGTGCAGTTGTCTGGGTTTCTTCTGTTGAAATGCACCATCCCAAATCTTAAAGTGGATGTTGTTTTATCAATGGGCAATGCCTTATCGTGTTTCCTCCCCAGCTCCTGTCCTTCAGGGCTGCAGTTCTGTGTAGGGTGTTATGGACGCACAGCTGAGCACACTGGGTGCAGAAGAAGAAACCAGGCCCCTCGTGTGGCCTGACTTGCCCAGAGTCAGCTGGGGAGAGCCTGGGCCGAGGCCTGACCTCAGGTCGGCATGAAGGGCTTTCTCTGCAGGATATTGCTGCTTCCCGTCTTGCTTTTGTCTTGTCTTCTTTTTCCTTTTTCTTTTTTGCTGTAAAGGAACGATGAGTGTAAAAACAAGCGTTTAGAAATGGCCTAGAGAAACTAATTAGTTGCATCCACTGACCCGGAGCTGCCCTTGAGGGGGTGCGCTCTCAGACTCCCCTTTGCTGGTGCTGAGCTGACTGCAGGAAGGCAGCAGCGGCACTGTCCGCTGCACACACCGAGGTGATTGTTTAGGTGGGACATGGCAGAAGGAAGAGACCCTGGGGCTTTTGGGAATACACAGCATAGGCGCCCACCAGGGGAAAGACTGGGAGTGTCCTGGGCGAACTGATGTCAGTTGGCTGGGATGCCAGCTCACA